CTTCTCTAAGTTGTAGCTCTTGATCTCCAAATCCAGTTTTCAGAAGACTGGATTGAGAGGATCTGATGATTCCTCTCTGTGGGGTGGCCAGGGACAGTTGTCCTGTTGCGTCCTCCCCACAGGAAGCCACATGTCCCTATGAGAGCCTGGTCTCCATGCCAGCTCCAAGTGACGGCATGTTCCACAAGCTCCATTCTGCAGCATGCCTGGTGGTCCAGGCCTTGAAGTTCAGTAGCCACCTCCCCAACCTCCAGTAACATAGCTATGTAGTGTTGCTCATCACTGGATTCATTTATTCAACAGGCACTAAGGATGTTCATTAGGTGCGAGGCAGGCTTTATTGTAGGCACCAGGGATACCATGAACAAGGTAGGGAAGAGGGATGGAAAATAACTTGCCAATAGGTAGCCATCTTGAATTGATAAATGTCAGGAATTGGGGAACACTTACAGGCTGTTGGTTAGGAAGAGCCCCTATAAGGATGCATGCACAGGCCTGGGGTTACCTGTGAAAATGCTAGGGTAGGGCCACCAGTGCAAAGGTCCTGGGGCAGGAAGAAGCAAGGAATTTCTGGCCACCAGCATATTAAGTACGGTGAGTCAGGTAAGGATAGACCAGGCAGAGATGAGGCAGGGTTTTCTCCTAAGAACAGCCTGGAGTAACAAGACGTAACTTAAGGCTTGAGAAGGCATTCTAGATGTTCCATGGGAAATAGATTGGAAGCAAAGAGACTTAACTTGGCCATGGTAGTCATGAAAGTGAGTGAAGGGGGCTTTGGAGTTGGACAAAGGTGGGTACCTTGGGCATATTTTTGGGATTAGGGCAGTAGGAACGAGGGGGAAAGCCAGGTAAACAGCAACCCTGAAAACTGAGCATAGGGAGAGGTAGGGCTGGGGGAACTGGATGTTAGATCTGAGTCAACCATATCACATGGGTGGGCCAAGGAAGGGTAAGCACAAAGGTCCTGGTGCTCAGGGGGAAGCAGGATAGATGTGCCCTAGCATCTAGGGGGAGCCATCATTGGGTGGAACTCCTGCAGAATTTAAATGCAGGAAAGGAGGGATTCTAGGACTGGACAGTGTTGTGTGCTAAAGCTATGGTTCTAGCAGCGCCGCCAGCCCTTCTCCTGCTGGCCCTTGACTGTGGTGGCTGACTTATACATGCTAGATATCCACAGCAACCCCGCTGTGCTGTGACTGTCAAAGGCGGCTCAAGGCATTGCCACACAGTCCATGTGGGGTGAGTAGGACCACATTCGCCGGGTGGTCCTTGCTCTTCATCTACTAAGAGGACCCAGAAAGGGGCCTGGCACCTGGTGAATCACAGCAGTGGACTCCTGAGGGCAGGCTGCAGATGCATCCCTGGGAGTCAATGAGAGTATGTGTGTGGGACCAAGGGGCTGAAAGCAGCCTGAGGGCAGTGAGGGGCAGGAAGGCTGTTCGAGTGTGAGCAGTGGCTGTGTGAACACTGAGAGACAGTGGCTGGAGGAATGGCGTCTGGGGGAGGGTCATCACAGAGGATTCTGGAAATAAGGTCTCTTGGAAGGGAGAGTATGTATCTCTACAAGGGGGGTTGGATAAGTCCCAGGGGGATCTTTAGGTCAGGGAGGGCAGTGCTAGAAGTCACTAGACCCCACCTAGGAGACTCAGTGCCACCACCTCAACTGTCAGATAGGTTCCCATGACCAGTTGGGTACAATCATCTTGCACTTCTTTGAAAAAAGATGTTACCTACATGCAAAATCACCTTTCCCCTGTAATCTGTCTTTCCAAGAATATCACTCTGGGGTACCATAGGCATGATGGGATTGAGCACATTCGTGTGTCTGCCATGCACCAAGCAACAACCACGGCCAGTATCAGTAACAGGGAAGAGGGGTGTGTGTGTGTGTGTGTGTGTGTGTGTGTGTGTGAGCCAACAAATCCTTGGACCACAGCCAAGTGTGAGCCTGTGCACAGAGCTTGAAGAGTGAGCTGGGCCTACTGAGGGATGGTGGGTCTCTGACTGAACAAAGCCCTGGAGAGGACTGATTGCATGCAACCTGGCGAATTCCCTGGTGCTGGGACAAGCCTCTGCCTTCCTAGCTGCAGGGTGGGAGAGAATCTTTCCCTGGTTGTGACCATCTTGGGCTGATGCCTGACTAGTCAGTAAGTGCCTAGCATGGCCTGACATTTGGCAGACTTAGATTTGCCCTTCAGGGAAGAACCAGATGAATGTTTCTCAGTGGGACTCAGGTAAGGCGGGGTTAAGGGTAACCATGGTTACTGTTCCTGCAGCATCCTGAAGACCTGACCCTTTAAAAATAATGGGCCATAAAATGATGCCCATAGCTGTCTGGGAAATTTTCTCTGTTTGTGTGGCTGGAGAGTGGAAAGACAGGTCATCCATGTCTCTGCGGGACTAGCAGGAATTGTCTCAGCAGCTATTTCCCAAGTTCCCATGGCTAACCTCAGCCTTTTCTCCATGAAGGGGCTACTAGGACCTCTTCATCCCTTATGGTATGGGCCCAAGCCCAATCCAACATAATGGGAAGGGTGTATCCGTAAGACCTGCTTCAAGATTGCAGTCTCAAAGGAACAGGTGAAGCTAGATCTCCGTTTTGAGCCTGGTCTACCTGTCACCACTCTCTCTGGTTGTGGCAGTCCCACATAGCTGGAGAATTGCATGTTAGGGCAGTGTGAGATGAGGAGGCAGTGCTCAAAGTGCCTCATGTGGCTGGGCGTGGTGGTCTGCCCGAGCCTGGGTTGGGGAAAGCCTGGTCTGTGGGGACACAAAGGTCACATGCCGGATCTCACAGTGGTGGTCATGAGGAATGAGGGTGGGGGTTGGGAGTGGATTCCTGTAGTTGGTTGGTTTTACTCTTTGGAGGGGGCCTGCCACCCAGTTCCCAAATGAATCACATCGAGTCTTATTCTTACTTATGAATGCCTGGCCTTAGCTTGGCTTGTTACTAACCAGATTTTCTTAAGTTATCTATCTTTCGCCTCTGGGCTTTTATCTTTATTCTGTATAGCATTCTTTACTTCTTACTCTGTGGCTGGTGCTTAGAGTCTTCCTTGTTTTCACTCCTCAATCTTTTCTCCCCAGATTTCTCCTCTTATTTATTCTCTCTGCCTGCCAGCCCCGCCTATCCTTTCTCCTGCCTTGTTATTGGCTGTTCAGATCTTTATTAGACCAATAAGGTGTTTTAGGCAGGCAAAGTAACAGCTTCACAGAGTTAAACAAGTGAAACATAAAAGAATGCAACACACCTTTGCATCATTAAACAAATATTCCACAGTATAAACAAATGCCACACATCTTTAATATTTTACAACAGACTCCATTTTGGGGGATTAATTTATATACATTTTTATAGTGCCCTTGAGAATTGGGAACTGTAAATACAAAGGTTGGCTTTTTCCACACAAGGGAACTATAAGGCTGTGGAAAAACTCCCTTGAGGCTAGGGGTTGGGGAGGGCCTGGTTCAAAGTTGGTCCTTTCATTTAAAAAATGTGTTTGAGTGCTTTTGCCTCCATGTATTTATATGCATCACGCATGTGCCAGGTGCCTGTGCAGGTCACGGGAAGCTGTTCAATACCCTGGATCTAGAACTAAAGACAGTTATGAGCTGATGTGTTGGTGCTTGGAACTGAAATCCGTCCTCTGCAAGAGTACCAAGTACTCTTAACTGCCGAGTCAACCCTCCAGCCCTCATTCCTTCTTACCTAGTTCTCTCCCCACTGCCACCCTAGAGAGGCTTCATGAGCGTCTGGAGCTGTCAAGGTCAGCTCCTCCCTACACGGTAGCCACCAACATCCGCTTTTTCTAAGCTACAAAGAGGAAAGTCTCATCCCTCACCTAGGTCTCCTCATTCTCATGATCCACTGGTCAAGAGGCTCCTCTCCAAACCCTGTACCTTTGCTCTGAGTCTGAGCTGTTTTCCCATTTCTTTTGAGACAGGATTTCTCTGTGTAACAGCCCTAGCTAGCTGTCCTGCAACTAGCTCTGTAGACAGGCCGGGTTCGAACTCACTAAGATCGGCCTGCCTCTGCCTCCTGACTGCTGGAATTAAAGGCGTGCGCCACCGCCGCCTGGCTCTACCGTTTTCCTTCTTTAAGACTGGTTTTAAAGTGTGGGTCTCTGTGTGGGTATGTGCACTTGAGTGCAGACTGGTGGAGGCCAGAGGCCTGTCATCCCCTGGAGCTGGAGTTAATTTTGAGTCTCCTGCTGTAGTGTCTGGAACCGAACTCAGGTCCTCTACAAGAGGCAGCCTTGACCGCTGAGCCGTCTCTACAGTTGCCCCTCTCCCCTTTAGCTTGTCTTTAACAGGGGAAACGGAGGCAGCCACCAGTTGTTTCCCACCAGGAGTTAGCTTTTTTGGCGTCTCTCTCCAGTCTCTGCTCTCGGAAGTCAGCAGAGGGCGCTCGCAACACAGAGATGCACTCCTTGATCTCGCAAGTCTGATCAGGTGGAGTCTGGGTGGGGATGCTTAGGAACTCTGGTCCGGCCCCAAGGTTCTCAGTCGCTGGGATATGGCTCAGTTACTAGTTGTAGATGTGGCTTATTTTGCGTACGCACCCCAACATTCCCCTACACGCTTCTCAGAGCTGTTGGGCTGCTACAGGAGACATGGGCTACCACCGATCTGGGTGCTCTGTCCCAGACTCGCAGACAGAAGGCAAATGGACCCTTAGGACCCAAGTTCTCAGTTCCCGGCTCACACTGATCCTCTTCGGTAAGTATCCTTCCAAGAACGTCGAAGACCCCAGGAACCTGGCTCCCGGGACTTGGTTCGTGCGGCGACGGGGAGGAGAAAGGCGGTGGGGACTGGGTAAGTAAAAGGGTGTGTGTCGCAGGTCCACTTTCTACCAAAGCGCACCTTCTACCCACCCTCGGTCGGCTCTCCAGCCCCGCCTCCTTCCCTCCTCCAGCTCCCGCCCCCAGTCTCCTCCCTCCTCCCGCCGTGCTGGCTGTTCTCCCCACGCCCCTGCGCGGCAGGCTGACTGCAGGCGCCGCACAGGGATAGAGAGCGCCTTTTCCGAGCGCTGGCTGCGCCTCAGTCGGTTCTGTGCATCCTGCAGTTGTGCCGCGCAAAGGCGCGACTTTCCTCCGGTCCCGGGACGGCAGCGGGACAACTTGGAAAACTTCTCTGGGGCGGACTCAGAGACGCCGGGCACCGGTGGAAGAGGATGTAGGTGATCGATGGCTAGTCCCGGTTGTCCCCGGACCTCCTAGGCCGCTTTTGGTGAGGCTATGGGACTCCAGAGCCATCCGCACCACCGGGGGGACGGCCCCCTCCTGTAGCGGAGCCAGAGTGGCGCTGTCTCCCGCGGAACGTGGGTTTGGCCAGCAGCGATCCCTCTGGACGTGTCCGGCCCACCATGGACCACCAAGAGCCCTACTCCGTGCAAGCCACCGCCGCCATCGCGTCGGCCATCACCTTCCTCATCCTTTTCACCATTTTCGGCAACGCACTGGTTATTCTGGCTGTGTTGACTAGCCGCTCACTCCGTGCACCACAAAACCTGTTCCTGGTGTCACTGGCAGCCGCGGACATCCTAGTAGCCACTCTTATCATCCCTTTCTCTCTGGCCAACGAGCTGCTGGGTTACTGGTACTTCTGGCGCACATGGTGCGAGGTCTACCTGGCACTAGATGTGCTCTTCTGTACCTCCTCCATCGTGCACCTGTGTGCTATCAGCCTGGACCGATACTGGGCAGTGAGCCGAGCATTGGAGTACAACTCCAAGCGCACCCCGCGCCGCATCAAATGCATCATCCTCACAGTGTGGCTCATTGCAGCCGTCATTTCTCTGCCGCCCCTCATCTACAAGGGTGATCAGCGCCCGGAGCCCCCCGGGCCCCCCCAGTGTGAGCTCAACCAAGAGGCCTGGTACATCTTGGCTTCCAGCATCGGCTCTTTCTTTGCTCCCTGTCTCATCATGATCCTCGTCTACCTGCGGATCTATGTAATTGCCAAACGCAGCCACTGCCGAGGTCCCAGGGCCAAAAGGGGCTCTGGGGAGGGTGAGTGCAAGCAGCCTCGTCCTGTCGCTGGGGGAGCTCCAACCTCAGCTAAGGTGCCAACCCTGGCCTCCCCTCTGTCTTCTGTGGGAGAGGCCAATGGGCACCCCAAGCCTCCAAGGGAGAAGGAGGAGGGGGAGACCCCTGAAGATCCTGAGTCCAGGGCTTTGCCACCCAACTGGTCTGCCCTTCCAAGATCAGGCCAGGGCCAGAAGAAGTGCATGGGTGGGGCAACTGCAGAGGAGGGAGTTGAAGAGGAGGATGAAGAGGAGGTGGAAGAGTGTGAACCCCAACCCCTGCCAGCATCTCCTGCCTCCGTATGCAGCCCACCCTTGCAGCAGCCTCAGGCTTCCCGGGTGTTGGCCACTCTTCGTGGCCAGGTGCTTCTGGGCAGGACTGTGGGTGCGGCCAGTGGGCGTTGGTGGCGCCGACGGACACAGCTGAGCCGGGAGAAGAGGTTCACCTTCGTGCTAGCAGTGGTCATTGGCGTTTTTGTGGTCTGCTGGTTCCCTTTCTTCTTCAGCTATAGCCTGGGGGCCATCTGCCCACAGCGCTGCAAGGTCCCACATGGCCTCTTCCAGTTCTTCTTCTGGATTGGCTATTGCAACAGCTCTCTGAATCCTGTTATCTACACCATCTTCAACCAGGACTTCCGACGTGCCTTTCGAAGGATCCTTTGCCGGCAGTGGACCAAGACTGCCTGGTGAGCTTGGCTGCTCGCTGCCTGTGCCCGGGGTTGGTGCCAGGACCACCTGATGGTTGTTCCCCACCCCCGTAGTCTCTGTGACCATTTCCCTGGGGCACACTTGCAGACCTCATCCTCAGACCCCCCTAAAGGGAAAGGATAAAAGTGCTGTTCCCAGGGGCCCATCTGAAACCTCCCTTGCTTTCTGTACTGTGGGGTAGCTCTTCTCCACTTTCCTGAGCAAGGGCAGCTTGGATCTTCCAGAATGTAGCCAAGGCCAGACTGAATTGAAGTACCTCCCTCCCTCCCCCTCCCTCCCTCCCCCCCTCCCTCCCTCCCCCTCCCTCCCTCCCTCCCTCCCTCCCTCCCTCCCTCCCTCCCTCCCAGCCATCTGTAATTCAACAGGTCAGGCTTCCCTTTCCTGGAGACCCCTGTGCCTTGGCAGGCCACTCACTCGTGGTGTTTATTTTTCTTGGTGGTTTTTTTGTTTGTTTTTGAGACAGGATCTTGAGTAGCCCAGGTCAGCATCAGGATGATCTTGAAATTCTGATCTTCTTGCACTCACCCCCCCCCCAGTGCTAGGACTACAGGTGTTCACCACCACATCTGGTTTATGAGATGCGGGCATGCTAGGCAAGCATTCAACCGAGTTACATCCCCAGCCTTGATTATTCCCCATGCCTCTCAAAGAGCAGGAAGCCAGCCGTCTACATATTCCAGGAGGATGGACTGCTGAGAAGGAGGACAGCATGAGGATGACTCACCCATGTTGACACCTGTGCTTCCCATTGGCTACTGGGATGGGGGCTTATGGGCTAGTACTGCTTTTTAGCTTTGTGGCTCCTTTAAGGCTAGATTGGTTTTCTCACTCAGCATCCCTCTGGGAGGCAAGTGGGCACATGGATGTCTCAGTGGGGAGGTCTGGAAGCCTGGCCTGGCCTCAATAGGCGCTCCTGATCACTGGCATTCACCCTTGCTAGGAGCAGGGCGACAATTGCCTGCCGCCTACTTGCGGCAGGGAGATGAAAGGCTCAGCATAGAGCTTTGAGCTCCGTGGGGGAAGAGCTAAGAGCCAGCAAATGTGATTATCTGGTGATATAAAAATCCCCTTCCTATGTGTTTACCACCATGAGCCTTCCTGTAGACTTTTGTTCTGTGCTTGGGGTGTGTGAATTCCTACCCCAAACTGGAAGTGGGTTGGGGTGCACCGAGTCACTCTTTCAAATTCCAGAGTTCCTTTGAGAATGCATTCTTGTACCTGAAAAGGTTTTGGTTATTATGCCGGTGACAGCTTCTCCATCTGTTACCTGTAATGCCAACAGAATTTTCAGTGGCTTGGCCCCAACCCCATTAGGGGATAAGTCCTTTGTCATCGAGCAGGCAAATCGTTTCCCTAAGCTAAAAATACTCACATCAAGGAAGCAGTCTGAGATGAGAGCCTCAGGTGGGTGGGGAGCTGGGGCTGAAGCAGGTAGCCAGGGCCCTGTGAACCTGGGGAGAGCCACCTGCTCTAGGGCCCAGACAACTTTATGCGCACCCCACGTGGAGCCTTTTGAGGCATAGCTAATTCTATCCCAGGCCAGAATGATGCCTTGCTGGCTGTTAAGAACCCTCACAGTTGAAATGGATATGCATTGGGCTCTTCTACCTCCTGGTTGTCTCCCCAACTTAGGAATTGTTTCCCAGAGTGACTGGGCATCTGTAAGGGATCAACCTTCATCTTTGGGCAATAGAACTCTTAGCCTCAGGGAGGCATGGCTTGAGCCACACAGGCTGTTAGTTCAGAATGGGTTTATCCAAATTTGGAAGGTGCTCAGGGATTTTTTTCACAATAGTGGGTACCAATGGTGGGTACCAGGTGGGTACCAGGAGAAGATGACTGACTGTCAAGCTTGGTCTTCAGTTGGTTGATTGCAGTTGTGAGGACAGGACATTGGTTTGGGGTATAGCTGAGGGGCTGTTTGTAATCATCTGCAGGCTGATCTTGTTTGTGTATGCTCTGTGGGACCCAGCGCCCCCCCCCATGTTGTGACATACAGGTATTTCTAAGACTCTGAACTATTTTATCAATAAAGGCTATTTTGTAATAAGCAAGCTGAGTTCTGTGTCTAAGGGCTTCTGGGAGAAGTTAGGTAACCCCTGACCCTCCTTGAGTGTCAGCCTGATGAGCCCAGGCTCCCTCTTAGGGCTGGCTCTCCTCTCTGCCTTCTTTGTCCCTACAGTATTCTCATCGCAAGTCACTGAGACCGACCTACCTGCAAGGGTGAGAAGCACAGGCTTCCCTAAGGAGGAGGCATTTGGGCTGGGTTGGGTCTTGGAGCAGGAATGCACCAAGAGACAAAATAGGAAGCTATTTGGGGCAGGGGAAGACCTCATGCAGAGTTGATGGCATCAGAGAGACAGCTTTGAATCCCCCTGCTGCACGGTCATGAGGAGCAAAGGTGCTGTGGCTAGCAGGGGCAGGAGGGGGACAGGCCACCCTAGAATGGCATATACACGGTAGCCGAGTTCGACTAGGGCCCGGTGAGTGCAATGGGAACGGCTTGCTTCAGCTATCACAAACGAATGCTCTGCCCTCCAAGCTGGGGTGACCTGGTTCCCTAAGCAAGAGAAGAGCCAGCAGACTGGAGGCCAGAGGTCACAGGCAAGATGAAGGCTCCTGACAGATCCCAGATTGGTGAGGACAGAAGGAGCAACAGTGCTCTGGGGTACAGGGACTCTCTGCTCCCACATTTCCTCAGGGTCAGCACTTTCGACATCTTCATTACTTTCTTTGGGGCCACGTGTCTGCTCAGGACCATCACCAGAAACGCCGGTGTGCCCCCGGCCATCAGTGAAGATGGGGCGTGATGCTACCCACCCTGCTCCCAGCTCCTCCCCAGCAGGGCAACCAGCACCAAAGACTCCTTTTCCATCTGGTCCCTAGGGAAATAAAACCCGGAAAGGGTGACCACAGGGTCACTCAAGCCCATGCTCTGCTCTCTCTGTTGGACCACACATCTTTCTGTCACTTGAGTGGCTACGAGGGCCTGGGAGTAGATGGCCACTGATATCTGGGAATGAGGCAAGTGGTCACCTCCTGGAGAGGACTAAGCAGTCCTACTGGAAGTTGATTTAAATCCTACTGTCTCATTTAACCCTTATACTCTTGCTATGTGTGGTCATTTTACAAAAGAGGAAAATGACACACAAGGTCACCCGATTGAAAGCTGGAACCACCCAGCTATGACATCCAGGCTGAAAAATGAACTCTCTTATGACAGCCTTTCTTCAGTGGCGTTAGCTGTGTGGAGGCTCTGAGGCTGGGAGCTAGTGCTGGGATTGATTGTTCATGTCTGCCACTGCCACCAAATACCTAAGAGGTATGCTTCAGGCTTTCCACTTCTGACAACTCAGCTGACTGCTCTGTTTTAGTTCTGAGGGCCCAGAGAGGGACCATCACTTGCCTCGGGTGGCATCACATAGACACACATTGTGGTTAGAACTGGATCTAGCATCCAGGTTGCCCAGAAAAACAAAATTCCTTTAAAAATAAGAGTATATGGGTGTCTTGCCTGCATGCTTGTCTGTGCACTGTGTATGGGTCTGGTGCCCATGGAGGTCAGAAGACAGCATTGCCACCCTGGGTCTGGAGTTAGATTTATTTTATTTTTAGCTGCTATATAGGTGCAAGGAATCAAACCTGGGTTCTCTGCAAGAACAGGTGCTTTCAATCACTGGGCCGGATGCAGCTGGCACTGAAGCTGCTTACTGAAGGAATTGCCGTCCATGCAGAGTCAAGGAGAGAAAGGTCCGTGTTCAGGAAAGGTCTGTTGACAACCTGCCATCTTCCAGGTCCTGGGCCAGACACACCTCATTTAGTTCTCAGGACTCACTCAGGCCCACATAGCTGTGGAGGGGGGAGGCAGTTGGGGCCAGTTTCATCCCTGACTGTCCTTCTTTCTTCCCTTTCCTTTATATCCCATTCCTGAGCTCCCCGAGTCCACCTGAGGGTTTCTAGGTTGGTAATGGGGAAGAAACTTGCAAATGAAGTGGAGGCTTGGGTAGTGGCCAGAGTGCCAAGAAGAAGTGATCTGGGGACATGGACCTTCAGAATATCCCCTTATGACAGAGGGGTGGCCCCACCCCAGAAGACAATTAAAGGAGCAGGCTCCCCTTCGGCTGCCCCTGCATTGGGAAAATGTATTTCCAGCCCATGGGGATTCCTGGAGGAGGACTTCAGAGTCAGTCAATGCTCCTGAGGATTCCTATTTAGAGCACCCTGGACCACCTGCTCAAAACAGAAGGTATCAGAAACAAGGGAGATCTTATGGCCCAAGCGCCTCCCCAAGCCCCCATGGCCTCCACTGGGCATGTGTGTGTTCGGAAAGTCACCTGAGGACCAGCCTGTATGTGTGGCAGCTGCTGGCTTGGAGGAGCCTCTGCCCAGCTAGAACTGGTACAAGACAACCTTTGGCTTCCCTAGTGAGGCCAGGAAATCTGGTCACAGGACCTGGTCACTGCCCAGGATTTGTGTCCTGTGTTTACCTTAGTGCTGGGCTTCCTTGAGAAAGGCGTCATCCTTCTCCAAGCCTCCAATCTCTTTGCCTGCCATGGAGAATTTCCCCTATGGTTCCGAAGTTCCCCATTCCATGACTTCCTCTCTGCTCTCCTCCTCCTAGCTCCCTGGAAGTTCCAGTCATGGGGTTTCCTCAAATTAGTCGGTTGTGTTAATCATTTGTTCTCAGGGCTTGGGTTTTGGCAAGATGGGGCTGTTTGCCTCGCTTTTGTACCTCTGAGAAAAACTGAACACAAAGTCTGGAGCCTCAGATCCGTTCGCCGTCCTCTGAAGTACACAGTAGTGACAGAAATGAAGACAGCACTGAGCTGTCGGGGTCCAGGGATTAACACACTTTGCCTGAGATGGTGTTATTATTATCCCTGTGTCATGGGTGAGGGAACTGAGGCAGGAGGAGGACTTGCTGATGTCAGCCAGAGTGGACACGGAAATTCACACAACCTATGACTCCAGCCCCCATGTCCTCAGCAGCCCCCAGGGCCTGTCCCTGTCGGGTCAGACTGGCATCCCCCTTTGTGGTTTGGGGGGTAGACCCTGCCTGTGGCACTCCCGTCCAAGCAGGAGCCCAGGCAGGGGTGCAGACTCCCACCCTCCAGCCTCTGCTCACTGTCAGCAGGGGAGGTGGGGCGCACTAGGCTAAAATTAGCTTCTGGGATTCTTTGTGCTCTGCTTCCGTCCCTCTTCCATCCGTCTGGGGAAGGATGCTGTCAGGAGGCCAGCTCTAGAAGGAGCCGGGTGTCAGC